GGCCCGTGGTGGAGACGGGCGAGGCGGGACCTCCCGGGTTCATGCGCAGGGTCACGGTGAGGAGGGGATCCGAGGACTCGGCCGACTCGCCGCTCATCGGGGTGGCGGGAGCGCCAGGTAGGGTGCCAACTCGTGCCGAGTGCTGAGATACCGAACGCGGTCACAACTTCATGTAGCCCTCGCGCCGAGCCAATCGTTGGCACCGTTTCTTTGGACATTTTCCAGACCGCGCTTGCGTTCGATGACGTTGAAAGTGGAGCTTTTTTGTCTTTTTGCAGGCTATCCTCCCTTACAGCCGGTATCGTTCAAGCCTAACTGGAGCAGTCTCACAGGTATAGCGTTGCGATACGAGCACGTCACTCATCTTTACACCCAAACGATTTACAATAAGAAGCAGTTTGGCAAGCACTGAAGGACTCATCCAGGAAAAAGAGGCTTCAAACTGTTTCAAGCCACTCCCGCTTGAAGTGTACTGCCCAATTAAACCTAAAGGAATCGGTTACCCTCGAAGCAAAAGATTCAGCACGGGCGGTGCAGCAACACGTGTAGACAGACAACGTAACATCGCTCACAGTCACATATCGTTTATCTTCTGCGAAGAGCGACAAATATTAGTGCTGTACTGATGAGCAGAGAGGAGATGAGATGCCTCAATGAAAAGTTGTTTTTTTGGGGTTGCGGGGGGGCTGCAACGTATCAATGGAATTTCAATTCACCTCATTAGGAAAATAGGATTTGATAGACCAGTGTTTTGAGTTAAAAGCGTGGGCACGGAACAAATTTAACTCGCGTCTCAAGGCGGCACAGTATTGTGTTCACCTGCGCGTGTCTGCAGTGAGAAGTCAAGCTGTGAATAAAGCGCAGCCTTCACAAGAGGATGTTTAGATTGAAGTATTTCTTGAGGCACCAGTTGCAGATGTTCAGCAAAAGAATTTGCCCTCCCTCGCCGGTTGCTTAGTTACACACTCTCGCCATGCTCATTTTTTTTTTTTGTCTCGATCATACAAATACAGCAGAGCAGACCTCCGCCAAGGCCAAACAATCCTAATTGTGATCAGCGTAGGCCTAAATTGGATCATTAACATTCATCATTTAGCCACTCAGGCAATTAGAAGACTGCAACAAAACAAAAGTGAAAAGAAAAACCGATTCCCCCCTCCCCCAGATCTCTTAATGACTGTTCGGGCCTGAAAGAGAAAGAAAAAAATAAGGGCAATTGTACAAAGGAAAAAAAAGCCGAGTTTTTGCATACAAGAAGGAGAAAGCTGTAGGAGTCAAAACTTGTAAGAAGAAAAAACCCCCAACATGAACATTGAAGTTTACAAAAAATTCCTCGGAAATATTATATCGGGGGTGGGGGGCGGGGGCTTGAGTTTCGTGACAAATTGGAACATTGTAAGAACAAGTCATTGCAAAAAAGACAACATCATTTTATAAGAACAACCGTTAAATGGATCCGTAAGATGACGTCAGAAATGCCAATTCCCACCAACAGTCAATTTGTACTGTACTCAAATCATTTCTGGAAGAGGTCATATTTCGACAGAAATGATGCACAGCAATCCTTCTGTTCTGTTTTGTCCCCGGCAGGTCCGCTAGCAGCTAAAGTGCCCTGGCAGCCGTCGCACCGAGCTCCGGTCGAATCACTCGGTAAAGTCTTGCTCGGAAACACGACACCGGGAGCGGCGTTCGGCCTAAAGTCTATTGAGCGCGTTTTTCAAGCCGTACTTTGTTGTCGTTAGGTGTTCCGGTAGAGCGCTTCGCTTTGGCCGAGCCTTTCTCCTTCTCGGCCGGCCTCACTCTTCAGCCTTTCTCTGGAGAGTTTGGCATCATTCGCTTCGACAAGGTTTTGCTCAACGACGGCGGCCACTACAGTCCCCACACAGGTACCGATGCAAACGCGTGCCTTTGCTGATACTTTATAGGACCCGAAATTCCACTTGGGCAATTCTTCCACGGAAATACTTTCAAATAGACATTTTACTAAACGTGACATCTTGATTAAACAACAGATTTATAAAGCCCTGAGGAATGCCACTTTTACAATACAACATGAGACTTGTATGTTGTGAGAGGGAAGAAATTTCATCTGTGCTGTACTTTGCGCATACAGCACATTTGACAATAAAGTTGTACTTGATACTTGAAAGCAATTTACTGCTAGATGACTATTAGATGATTATTTTGGAGAAAAAAAACTTGTAGGGGGCGCTCCAATGTGTTTTTCTCGGGCTGGGCGGGACATTCACCACAGTATTGGCACTGATAGGACGATGGCAACTTGTGCCGCCTACCAACCTTTTGTTTTGACCAATCCCGGCAACGAATGAAAATGTCGTCATCGGCACGCACCTTGTTTTCGCCGGCTGAGTCCTATTAGCTCCATAATTGGCCCAGAAGCGGCGTTGTGGCTGATAGTTGTCATTTATTCAATGTCAATATGCGGATAAATAAATAGGCCTCTTAAATAACACCATGTTGATTTGGGGATCAAACCGATTGTCAGCCGACAAAAGTTTTCGGAACAGCCGCACATCCTAAGGCGCCCTGTTGTTTCGTGATCGGTCCGCACCACCGCAAGACAAGCTCGACTCGCGGGGTTTGGTCAAGTCTCAAATACTGCAAGGTTAAAAAAACACAACAGCATCTATTATGGGGGGG